AAGGGTCACTAAGTCAGTCACAGTCACTAAGTGAATCTCTCTTCCCCGAATCTCTGTTGCAAAGAGAGGCAGCTGTTCAGTGAGCTTCCACCCACTTTCTTGCCACCGCTGTTAAGTGGATCATTGTTTAAGTCAGTCAGACAATGGTTAAAGAAGCTGGCTCACCCAGTATCTTTGCTTGTCAGACGGTCGCAAAGGGCAGATCACATCACATGACCCCAGAATGCTGCAACTGTCATAAATGTGAGTCAGTTGCTATGTATCCAACTGTGAATCACATGACCAATGGGATACTGCAATGATCATACATGTGAAAAATGGTCAAGAGTGGCATTGCAACTTTGATCGGTCACTATATGATACAGTCATAAATTGAGGATTACCTATACTGTTTTCTAATTTGACGGCAATCCTTGACTTACAATAATCATGGCCAGCCTTCGCCGATGTCTTATGTCTGTACCTAAGATAGTAGGGGGTGGGGGGAGCAGCAGCCCAACTGCAGGATCTGGCTTTGATTTCCCTCCCCTAGTCGGGAACGAGTAGCACATACGTGTGAGGAGAAGCTTTACCTTTACCTTTTACAAAGGATTTTCCTTCTGGTCTTCTGTCACACTCCATCGTTTCATGTAACTCAAACCACTACCCCAACACTGACACGTGAAGCCAATAAAATACTGTATGTTCCGCCTTGAGTTTTGGGCAACCTTGTGCTTCTCTGACCGCCCTCCTGGTCCCCGTCTGGGTGATGGGATATGCCCACTGACGACCTGGTTCTGCAGCCCTGGACAAGGGAGAGAAGGTTGGGTGGGAAATGTGGTCTCCCTCTGATGGAAAGCTGGAGCCCCTTCCCGGCCTCGTAACAAGCCAGCGCAGCCCATCCTCTCCCGCCACTTCTTCCAAGGGAGGACAACCACTTCCTGGCGGTTGTCTCCATGCATGAGGAGCTGCACTCTCCTTCAGCCCTCCCAGGGGCAGCTCTCTGAGACTTCCTTCCCTCCCTGCCTGAGCCGTCTTCTTGCGCTGCTCCAGCCCACGGTGCATTCGTGGTCCAAAGCACCTGGCCGGCTTGGGCGCCCAAGAAAATAATCTTCCTGGCATGTGACCCACATTGGGTGGCTGCTCTTCCGATTTCTGGCGCACCTGTGCACGTGAAAACTAGCTGGCTGGCACGCCAGAACCTGGAAGAGCAACAGGCAACGGCTCTGCGTGCTACTTCTGGCACAAATGCCATAGATTCACCATCACGGTCCTAGACCCTTTGCAGAAAATACAGCACACAAGTCAACACATTAGAAGTATGTCTGGTATATTTTGCAATTACCATATTTTTCAGAGTGTAAAACGCATCAAGGTTTTGAAGAGGCATTGTTTTTTAAAAAAGTTTTTGCTCTGCAAACCTCCAAAAAACCAGCCCATTTTTTTGCGAAAACAGGCCCATTTTTTTTTTCAAAAAAAGGGCATGAATAGTCCTTAGGCTTGTAGAGTGCTCGGGGGGGGGGGGGAGAAAGCAAAATTGGCCCGTGTTTCGTGTCAAAAAAGCGCATGGGTAGCCTTTAGGCAGCTTATAGTGTCCCTGGGGGCTGGGGCAAACAATTGAGCAAAAATCAGGCTGTTTTTTGCTCATTACTGCCCTTCCCAGCCCCCAGGAGCTCTGGGGGCTATGCACGGCCATTTTGGTGAAGGGGGCAGGGTTTCAGAAGGCAAAAAATTCTGTATTCAGTGTATAAGATGCACCCAGATTTTCAGCCTCTTTTTTGAAAATACGATATGTTAGTTTAAAACTTTGGTTCAGTGATACCTGCAAGCTCACTCCTAGACCTCATTACATGCACTTTCCAATGGATATGTCTCTTCTCACAACAGGAAGTATATATTGTAAGGTAAGTTGCATATCACCAAAATATGATCTCTTAGTTCACAAACATCTCAGTTCAAGTGTCACCACAAGAAACAGACAACTTTAACAAAGTTACTTCAAAATCAAAAAATACCTGTTTAAACACTGGATGTGATATTTTATCTTACAGTATACATGTTAAGTTACTTAGCCTTTGTTTTTTAAGGGAACCATGTTTAAGGGAATTCATATATGTTGGACACAAATCATTAGAAAGGACAACAAGGATCATTTAGTTTATTCTTAATTACCTAATTAATTATAGATTTCCTTAAGAGGCAACCACCAGTAGGAATCCAGCTGCTATTGGAATAAATTGTATTTCATGGCTGAAATGCAGAGTACAAGCCCAAACATTTTAAATGAGTAAGCAGATCACTACAATCCATTCCATATATGTTCAAGGGATATCCAGTGTTTCCACTGAATCTGAATGGTATGCAAGCTAAACCACTATCAGTGATCCTGCTTATTTCTACGAAGAAAAACCAACTGTATGGCTAGGATTACCATTAGGAATGTGTAAGGTGGTTCTTTCCAGTTGATTTGTTCCTGTCTTCTATAAAAAAAAATTCTATAGTGGCTTCCTATCTGCAGGCAGGGGAAAACAGCAATGAGGCTTAATCAGGGATTGTTAAATTAAAGTGATATCATTAATTCCCCTTAAGATCACCTACCTTTTTGAAGTAATATTGAATGGATTGTCTTGGCCAAATAAAGTTCCATACCTGTTTAAGTGACTACATAAAAGCAAACTGTCCTTTGTCTAACCATATAAATTCTTGCTGGAAAAAAATGTAAAAATAGTATAGATATCTTTTGAACAACTGAAAATCAAAGCAGGTCTGATGAGATGTATAAAAACATGAAGATAATAAAGTAGAAAATTCTAATTTTCTATTGCACAGCACCACCATTTGTGGCTTAACATGCAAGAAAGGCTGACAATAAGTTCAATAAAGAGATCAAAGAAAACAATCTATATTTGAAAAAAACATGCAATACACCTATAAGGATATTCTATTTTAAGATGAAAGATTTAAAAGAAACTGCAAGTTCTTGCTACATATAAAACCAAAACAGAATGTTACATTTTCTTAGTTTATTGGGTTTAGGCAATTGCAACGCTCAGTATATGTTATTTGGAAAATCATGCATGCACAGCCTCTTAATGCCTTATACATTTTATCTTGCAATAATAGTTTTCATTCACAGCATACACAAATCCGTATGATAGGAAAAACACCCTATTTACAATTAGAAAGAGCATGGTTTTGTTTTATACTGAACAAAGTTAACAGGATATCAACAGAGCAGAAGATATAGGTGAAATATACAGGCTTTAAAGAACATATTTTTAAAAAACTTTAAAAAAATTAAGCTATTAGATTAATTCAACTAATCAACCAATTAAGGATTCCCTTTCTTGCACAGGTGATAAGCTTTAAAGGTTACTTGTAAAAACAAATATAACACATGGACACAATGTTAACTATAATAAGCATTTATTTCTCTGCATGTTTTCAAACTTCGGTTGACTGACAGCCTATCTTTCTATTCCAGGCTATATTGTGAATTTATTTTATGTTTAGACCACACTGACGCTTGTAAATTCAATAATACAAAGTCATAACCGAATATTTAATTTTTTTCATGTACTCTTTAAGAAAACTAAAATATTTTGTCCTAATTTCCAAGTCTGTAAAATCCGAGAGTTTTTAAAGAAATTTACAATAAAAAAGGATGGGAAATAAGAAGTGTACAGAACTGAAACATTCAATAACTGAGAGAAAGCATGGCTTAATAATATGACTGAGACCAGCTCTTTAAAAAATATATTTGCTTCACACATCTGCCATAAGGAAAAATACATATCACAGAGAAAAACACATCTCCATCAGATTTTACAAAACAGTATCTCTTTTCTTTCCTCTCTTCCTACACAAACATGCTAGCTTGATAGTATCATCAAATAATCAAGTACAGGATTTAATTTTGGCTTGCTCTAAACTATTTTATCAATTAAAATTGGGACATCTTTGCATATGTGAAAGGATATATAATAATATTAAATACAAAAGAGGCATGTATAAAGAAAAGGTTTTGGAGAATTAGAAGGATTCTTGAATTTTCTAGTAAACAGATTCATCCAAGACCTATTGGCAAGGGCAAATAAGTTATTAAAAAGTAGTGCATTTTAAAAATTCATGATGGCCTTAGAATCCCACCACTCAGACACACACATTCTGAATTTATATGCATTACAGTGCTTTTGTGTATTAAAAATAAGGAGTCCAGACATTAATGAAACCTTTTAGACAATCAGCAATTATTTTGGCATAACCTAAATCCATTTTGATTGAATTCACTTATTTCTGGGTAACTTCCATGGGTCTAGGACTTTTCGTCCCCTACTCTTTCTTCTCCTCGGCTGTTTCTCCTCAGGTGATTTTCCCCTGACCTACTTCTTTGGTTGACAGGCCTCTACCCATACTCCACCATCCATACTCCACTGGTCCATGCGTCCTACCATGTTCAACAGGGTGCATTTGCAGAAAGAGGGTTCATCCTGGGTGTTCCACCCCTGAGACAGTTAGCCCCCAACCAATTGGCTAGAGGGGGTGGAGGAAGGAATTCTTTAGGACTATTAATAGAAATCCAGCAAAAGGAGAGAAGGAGAGAGGAGTAAAAGAATCTGCCACAATGTCTTCCTCCCTCTTTCTCTCTTTTTTCCCCCCACTCCTCTCCTTCCCTCTGTCAGGCCTGCAGCCATATGCCTTTTGGATCTTTGGCCTGCCACACTTTCTATTATTCTAATATGCCTTTTCTATTGTGGGAAAATGGGAGGAGGGATTGTACAGAGTTAAATGCTATGTAGCCAAAATAAAATTCCTTTCTAGAAAGCCAAGGTCATCCTTTGTCTCTGCACCTCTGCACCTGACCGGAACTGGATGGGTGGAACTGCCAGCATGGCAGTGGAAGATTGGACCATGTGATGGACCTGTGGGTGTAGGGGCAAGATCATGAACTTTCAACTGGGTGGGGAAAACTGCGAAGCTTTCAGATTTGGGTTTTCCCAGATGTGCCAACATGTCTCTTAATAAATTGGAACTTTGAGGAATCCTTTGCCTTGGACTCTGATTTAATTTTGAATGCTTTGGAACCCTGACAGCAGGAGTGTCAGACTAGGACACAGGTCGGTGGAGTATGGGTAGAGGTCTGTCAGCCGAGGAAATAAGTCAGGGGAAAATCGTCTGAGGAGAAACAGCCAAGGAGAAGAAAGAGTAGGAGACAAACAGTCCCATTCCGCTTTCCACATAGACATGAATAAATTTACATGAACTTACATATTAAAATTAATTTCATTGCTATCATCTATATTACAGTGTGAAAGGACATTTACAAGTAAGCCAGTAAAAGGATTCCTTGTACACTGAAACTACACTATTACCTTCCAGACTACAAACTATGTTTTGACTTCTACTTCAGTAGTGAAAGTATGAATAAATCAATGAACTAATATTTAATAGTGGAACTAATATTAGTTCTACAATCTAGCCTGGGCATTATGCAGATGTACTGAATTCACCCAGAATGGCATTCCAAAGAACTCCCTCCTTATGACATAAACCTTAAGTTCCTACGTATTTTAATGATGCTTTCCAAATCCAGAAAACAAAATCCCTTAAGATAAACTCAGCCTAACTTTCATACAATACCTGTAAGTACAGTATCTCCTTGCCAGCTAAAATCCTGTTTATCTCCAAAATGCTATTTATGTTCCATACTTAATGAGTACAATTCCCTTCCCTATAGTAGTTGACTAAGTGCCAAACAGATGGTTGTTTTAAAAAATCATGAAGTTATGACCAATACTAAGGAGCAATACTAATGTGATTTAATAGATAATTTAAAAAAGAATACTTTACATGAAAGTCTTTGCATCTTCACATCTTAATTTTTTTCTCTAGGTAAAAGAAAAGAATTTCATAATTTTACTCTTAAGTAGGGATACAGAATTCTTAAAAGTTCCCTTTTAACCTCTCAAGAATCATATTTGTTATAGTGTAAAAGTCAACTAAAAAAATCTTAAGTATGACCACTAATGTAATTGTTCTATTTGACTGACTGATTGAATCAAGCTTGATTCCATATAGCTTCTGTAAGAATTTTATGGACGAACATCTATTGCATTCAATACATTTCAATTTGAACAGAAATTATATCATATATAATACCAAGATAAGAGCAAGATATGCACAAGTAAAATATGATTCTCCATTTTGCAATCCCTGCAAAATCTAGAGTAATGAATGTGTAAGAAGTAAAATTCACTGCCCTAGTGATTCATCAGTGTGAAAAGGAATTCTGTTTATTCATAAGCAATTTTATTTTTGACTCAACTTCAAACTCAGAAGACTGCTTTATTTCAGTATCCTGAAGCATTCACATCCTATTCATGATTAGCATATTCATACAGGTACTAGTACAATTCAATTTCTGGATTTTCAATACCCTTTAACTGACTAAGGATCACACCAAAATGCAATGTGCAACATTTCAAAAACCACCACTCATACTAATTAATACAAGTTAGTTGACTGACAATGTGCAAATAAACTTTATTGGAGAGTTCATATTGATGAGTGGTTTACAGCGAAATCAGAATGGGGGTACAAAGTACCTTCTGTGCTGTAAACATCATGAATTCTTCACATAAGTGGAAGCTGAAAGGCCTAAGAAAGAGTGTGCAAACATTTCTTATACTATCGATGGCTGAACTCAAGTTTTCCAAAAAGAATTTGGAACAGTTCTGCATTTGGTACATGTCCGATCCACTGTCAATCAGTTTCAAGGGAAAATACCAGTAATTAATAAACGTATACTTTTAATTTTTAGCTTTAAAACACAAGGGTCTAATGAAAGCATGCAGCACTATTTTTCCTGTGTAATATGGTATAATTATTTAACTACCAGTGTTTGCATGATTTGGTGAGTGCTGTACAAGCAAAAGGGACTGTAAAATCACTTCTGGTTGTACCCTATAAATAAGATTGTACAGTACTTTTCCCTCTTCACCATGATTCACAATATAAAAACAGAATTGTGTAGACTTAATTTACCCTGAAAAAAGCAGCATTTCAGATTATCCTTTTCTGTTCTTTGATTCTCCCTTTTTCAGTAGTTTACAATCTGGAAACATAGGGAGCTCTTGTTTTCCAGCTTGCTCTGGCCAGATCAGCTCTGGTTCTTCACAGTTTGTCTGCATATCTGTAACACTTCACAAAGTAATCGTTCAACGTATATGTGTATGTATGTATGTATGTATGTATGTATGTATGTATGTATGTATATATATATACACACACACACACACACATACACACATACATACACGCACACACTACTAACAAGCAAATGTAATTATGGGGGCTAGAACAACAATAATCACTTGTTTCCCTGCATACATACTTCAAAGAAAATCCATCTTGGATTCAGAATATCATTTCCGACTTTCTTACCACCATGGGATAAGAGTATGTTTCCATAAACTAATCTTTAGTGCAGCATAAATGAAAAGGAGATTTTTCTCTCAAAAATTGACCTGGTGGAGAACTAAAAGATCCCTCAAAATTTCATCTATGGCTGAGATCTCAAAGCCCATCTTAATACAAAGTAGACTTTGATAAATTCAGGCATACCGCGGCATTTCACATTGCTCACAACGATTCAGCGCTGGGTGATTCAAGAAAGTACAGCTGTCACAATTCCATGGAGCTCCTTCAAAGTCCTCATCTCTTGGCTGTGATCGCAGAACTGGCTTGGAACTATTTTGATGGTCTACAAAGAATCATTTTTCTTATAAAACACAATACTTTTAAATATATAAGCATTATAGGTCAATAATAACATTAGTATTAATATTTTATTTGGTATTCATGCATAAGCACACTGTAAGGTCTGTTTGTTTTCTCTACAATAATTGTTGTTGATAGAGAGGGAGTGACTGGTCTGAATTTTCTATACCAGAAGGTGAACTAGAATATGGGACTCCAATATTACACTTAACCACATACCAAGTGCAATATTCTGAAAATAAATTATGTTGTCCACATGATTTTGGTCCCCAGTAAAAATATAGTAAGTTATGTGAATTATGTATATTCTTTTCTGCCAAATTTTGTCATTTTGAGGTAGATAATATGAGATCTACTAGACTGAATTTCTAACTCATTCTTAACAAAAGAAAATTACTAAGATGTATTTTAATATTCCATACTAGAATTATTCCTAAGTAATAATGTGTTGCGTTCGAGCACTTTATTAACGTGGGTATGACACATTCTTACTTTAGCCACTAATACTATTGGGAGCATAGTTATTTACCTATCAAGAATGATCCAGAACATTACTCTGAAATGTTACTGAATTATATTAATTACCATGTCTTTACGCTAATTTTGATTAAACATTTATTTTTACAGTCTAACAAAGTATTTCCTGTATCAGCGATGGTGAACCTTTTTTGGCTCGCGTGCCATAAGGCAGTGTTTTTCAACCACTGTGCCACGGCACACTAGTGTGCCGTGACATAGTGTAAGGTGTGCCGTGGGAAAAACACCCGCCGGGTGTTTTTGCCTCGGGATATCTCTGTGTCCTGAAAGTTGCTTTCGGGACACAGAGATGCCTCTATTAAGTCCCTGCGGCCCCGCGTTTACTTTAAAAANATGTATAGGTTAGAATATATATTGTGAAAGAAATTAGCAGGGTCAATGCTTTGGCATCTTGGAAGGTCACCACATCCAATTTATGAGGAGAGTTTGATGTGAATTTGTTCATATGCGCATGACACAAACATATGGGCCGATATTTATTTTGATGATTTTTTAATGTTGGAAGCTGTTAAATAAGGGTTTTTGTATTCATGAGTTGAAGAGGATCTGTGTCAACTAGGGAAAAGACTTTGAATTTTCTTTTAAATTTGTGCATCTTTTAATTCATAGAAAAGTGGAATGGAAGCAGTCCCACAAATAACCTGAACCAGTGGTGGGTTCCTAACCAGTTTACTACCAGTTCTCTGATAGGGCATTTTGCATGCACGGTGCTCACTTTGCTTGCTTGCACACTCGCTATACCTTACTGTGCATTGTTGTGCATGCACAGTTGACTGAAAACTGTGCTACACATGCGCTGAAACTTGTCGGAGATGGGAGAAGAGACCGGGGAAACAATTTGGCGGTGTGGCAGGCCTGGGTCACTGCCGGTTTCAGTGACCCAGGCCACCATACCACTACAAGTTTGGCTGAACTGGCTGAACCAATAGGAACCCACCACTGACCTGAATCCATGAAACCATGGGCTTAACAAGAGACAACCATTCAAAATCTGGGAGTCAGTGCAGTTTGTGGAATAGAAGTGTAACATGGGTGTATCAAGATACACCCATAACTGCCCATGCCACTTCATTCTGGATGAGTTATAGCTTTCACATAATCTTCAACTGGTGTGCCCAAAAAGTTGTGGACAACACTCCCCACCACCCTCATCCAGTTATGGCTGCCACCTGTTTTGTTTCAAAGAGGCACATAAAGCCAAACTAGCAATGGATTGCTCTACTTATATTTAGCTGTGCAATTCCATTTGAGGGAGAAAAAATTTCTACTTTGGTTTCTCTCAGTTTTTTCTCTCTCTCTCTTTTCTTTCTCCTTAGTTAATATAGGCTACTCTTTCCATGTCTTTCCATTTCAGTGATGGGTTTCAAAAATTGTTGGAACCTACTCTGTGGGTGTAGCCTCCTTTGTGGAAGTGGCTTGCCACCTAGGTGACTGGATCGGAGTGGCTTGCCGCCCATGTGACCGGAAATGCAATTATGAATTAGTACTTAGGTCGGTCCAAGTAGCTATTCAGAAACTCTGGCATTGAAGCATGCAAGTCTTAAATCTGTCAAGTTACAAGATCCTTGCCCCCATAACCCTTTAGGGAAAAAAAACTAGGGGTCTTCAAACCTGAAAGCTTTAAGACTTGTGGACTTCATCTCCCAGAATTTCTCCTCCAGTCATGTTGCCATGACGTCATCTGAGCGGATCTGCTTCATCTTCATTTTTTCACAGGGGGCAGGGCTGCTGCTGAAGATGCCGATGAGCCCCCGCTGCCACCAGAATGACTGCCTCCTCCTCCTCCTCCTCCTCCTCCTCCTCCTCCTCC